GCCTTCAGTGGTTGTGGAATTGCTAATGGGTAATAGAGTCTTCTGGTTCAAAATGGGAGTATTGGAAGTGACAAACAGTCATTGTATCTGCTAGCTGTTAGATTATGCAAAATGATGTTGAGAACTCAGAGTAATTCTTAATGTGAGTGTAACAAGAGTCACCAGTGCAATTAGCACCCTTGTGGGCAATCTCAAGAGAAAAGCCAAGGATTGAATTGTTATAATGTACAAAATACATTGTCACCTATGAGACAAATTGGTATGAAAATACAGGCTTTCCTAGATTAGACTCTCTTTAGTTGGTAAATAGAGAACTGATTTCAATTTCTAGGGCCATTAATCTCCTACCTTTTATGGATAGTAAATTATCTTTAAATTAAAACAAACAAATAGTGTACCTGTCAGATTGGGTATCAGCATGAACACAGGCTGTCAACAACTTGTGATTAGGCCCTCTAACCTCATCTCTTTAAATGGCTTTGATAAGTAGGGGAACATAAAACCAATTTTCTGTTTCAAAGAGAAAACTTTTAGTCAAAATGTTGAAATAAAATGACAACTTTTGCATTTTTTCCTATGACTATCATATTACATTTATTTTCTTTAATCACATTTTTATGTACAAACTGAATGATATTTCTTGTGTTTATGCCACATGTTTTTTGTTTTTGTTTTAAATTATGTTTTAAATCCCATGTCCAAGAATAGTGGTTTGAAAATAAAATTACCATCGCTCTTGTTTTTGAGCACATGTGAGGTCAGTAACACCACATTTCAAACCACATTAATTATCCAGTTGAATGAGTAATGCTATAAGAATATTCTGCTTGTCCTCTCCCCAGCATGGTCTGGTAGGAAGGACCACTAGTCTGTGGGAAACCACCAACCACAAAATACACAGCATGAAGGAGTGGCAGAAACCACTGTAGCTGTCATGGAAAATGTACTAAATGGACTACTGTTGTTGTTCTGCGTGTATGCATTGGATAGTGGGAGACTGTTTTAATTTTTCCTGTGGTTTCATTTAAAAACTTAAGAAAGTAAACAGATACTATGGTAGGGAGTCAGCTAGAATCCTTTATGTAGCATGTGGTAGGAGGAAAAATCTGCTTTAAGCTTGAGTCAGGTAACTGAAAATTTCAGAGGTATTCTGACTGCAGATATAACTGGATATAGAGCTAAAAAATGATTCTTTTTTTTTTTTTTTTAAATGATGTCTCCTTCCAAGGCTTTAATCTCTACATTCTCCTCTTTTAGTTCTATTCACAGGTAACCTCTACACTATTTTCTTTCAAAACTTGCAGCCATTGCTCTGCCAGGACTTGGCTTAATTCAGATACCCATTATAGAATCAACATTGTGGTCAGGGAAATACTTGACTGAGCCTGGGCTATGGGATCAGAGTAGGGGAGGACAGAGTCTCCAAGTAATTGAATGTAGGAGGAATTGGAAATTGATGTTGTGGAGGCAAACCACAAATGTATACTCCTGGAGTGTAGGTTTTTCTACTACCGGGCTCTCTTTCTTTTGTATTTTGGGTGCTCCTGAAACAGACATAGCTATAAGATTAAATTTAGAGAATCTGTCTTGTCATAAGCTCACACAGGAGGATATAGTCACTTTTTTTGTTTTTCATGGTTTTCCAACTATGGAAACCATTACACAATTTATGCAAGAAAAACATCAGGAGTGGGTCCTCAGGGTTATATCAGTTTCTTACAAAATGGAGAATGACATTCTAAAAATCAGATTACTTTTAGTGTAGAACTATTGAGGTACTGATGTTATCTGCAGGGTGGTCTGGAATGGCCAAATATTTCAGTAAACCTCTGCTTGTTGCTATTGATTAAGATATTTCAGTTTCATGTAATTTTCAAGATGGAGCTGCAAGGCTTTTAATTGATGAAGGTAAAGAATGTCTCCTATGAGCAAGAGAAGTCAACAGGACATTCAATAGCATGATAGAAAATTTTGGGGTTTTCTCCTGTAATTATTTGTATTCTTATTGAGAGTTAGGAGGAAAAAGGACAAATAGTTATAGGAGAGTTCTTTGAAAATGAATACTTTGAAAAAGAGGTTGCGATTTTAGCAGTTTCGTGAGCCACAGGGAGGCCTGGGAAGTGAAATACGTGTTTATGCATTTGCTGGCAGTTGAGTTTATGATGGAGAGAGGAAAATGGAAAGACAAAAACACTCAATTCCTCTCACATTAGTATCTGATTAGAAAATAATTATTTCAGATAATTAAAAATAATTGTTTTGACTACTAGTTGCACCAAAGCTGTAACAAAATTTAAAATCATACTTCGGATTTTTCCTACCCGACAGAAAATGTGTTACATCTTTTCAAGAGAAACTTGTTGGTTCCTTGTGGAAAATAGAATAGATTTTGTGATGCATCAATGAGACATAAAAATACAAGTGTTACCTTAGCAGTTATTTTTATTTATTTTTAATAAGATCATGGGTAATAAAGTACACAATGCTCTAATCCATATTTTTACTCTTTTCTAAGATAGTGTATTATAATAACTTCTTTGGATTGTCCATTTTTGTAACAAACTTATATCAGTTAATTACTAAATCTGAGGACTTCGTCATGAAATAGATTATTGTGGTTTTCCTCAAATTGTTATGCTAGAAAGGAGAGGAGATGTGTTTGAGGAACAATCAATCAGTTGGCCACATCAAGAAGTTAACAATATAAAAGGTTAACACGAATAAAATATAAATTATATTATAAATAAATGAATATATTTGAAAGCTATATTTGTATTTCATAATGGGTTATGTTGTACAATTGGGTTGCCAGAAGAAGAGATGAATGTATTTGTAAAATCACTAAATCTTTACGGAAATTGATGTATCTGAGGAGGTTTGTAGAAGGTGGAGTACAGAAAAGGTAGGTAGATATAGATGGGAAAATGATGCTGCGCTCTGGAGAATAGTCTGGGAATATCCTTGGAGTTAGGGGGACCAGTAATATTTATGTGAATGAAGGGTCAGAGAGCAGGGAGGTATGAAGAAGATTAAATAAGCAGCAGTCAATTAGCTTTCATTCCAACTGGTCACTTGAAGTCAGAGTAATCATTTTGAAGCACATGAGGATGACCTAGAATTGCTCAATCGTTGGTGAAATTACAAGTGTTTACTCTGTATCCATGAGTAATTGCACATATAAAATATATCCACGCCAAAATTATACACAGAGTGAGTTTTACTAGGGAACTTTATAGCCTTTATCTTTTATGCAATTATAGCTCTCTGAACTATGTATACAAAACAATTATAGAATTGTGGTTAACTACTTCTTTTAATCCCTCACATGTCCTGAAACAGTGATTTACGGGAAAGAATAAAGAAAACAATTATGATTTCACCTACACAAGGTAGATAGTTCAATTTGTTGTTTCTCTGCAAGGTAATTTATCTACCATTTGCAATGGACTGATTGTTTATGTTTCCTCCAGATCCATAAATTGAAATCCTAACCCCCAAGTGATAGCATTAAGAGGTAGGGCCTTTGGGAAGTGATGAGGTCATGAGGACGGAGCCCTCATAAACAGAATTAGTGCCCTTATAAAAGACATTCCAGAGAGATCTCTTGCCCCCTCCAACATGTAAGGTTACATGAGAAGATAGCTGCCTACAAGGTATTGGGCCCTCAGACACTGAATCTGCTGGCACCCTGATCTTGGACTTCTCAGCCCCTAGAACTATGAAAAACAAATTTACGTTATCTATAAGCCACCCAGTCTATGGTATTTTTTATAGCAGCCAGAATAGACTAAGACACAATGTACATGTGAAAAACCCTAGTTTGTTATAATAAACTGTATTCATGCAAAGTGAAATTTCAATTGTATAGTTCTTTTTTCCTTATTTATTTTTAAATTATAATTCCTGAAATAAAATTTTTGTTCTTTTGTAATGTGACTATTGGAGTTGTATTTGTGAGTTGTATTTATTTGTACATGTGAATGGCTTCTGTTCAGAGAAATATTTTAGAGGCATTAAGGCTTAAGAACTTAATCTGTGGAACCTGATGGAATTGTGCCTGAACTTTAGTGAAGTCACTTAGCACTTAGCAGGTGCTATGGTCTGAATATTTGTATTTATATGAATTTATATGATGAAACCTAATTTATATGATGAAATTTATAATGATGAAATCTAATCACCAATGTGGTGATATTCGAAGGTGGGGTCTTTGTGGGATGATTAGATCATGAGGGTGAGCCCTTATAAAATAGGCTCAAGAGAGGTGCCTTGTTCCTTATACCTTGTGAGGACACAGTGAGAAGAATCAGAAAGCAGACATCAACTCTGCCAGTGCCTTGATCTTGAACTTTCTAGCCTCCAGAACTATGAGAAGTAAATATTGTTTATTAGCTACCCAGTTTGTGGTATTTTGTTGTAGCAGACTGAATGATCTAAAACACTGGTTTTGAAACCTTGGGCACATTGCTTAACCATATTTAAGTCATAGTTTGCTTACTCATAAAATGGGCATAATGATACTTACCCCAAAGGGTTACTGTAAAGATTAAATGAAAAGTGATATGTGAGTAAATCCCTTAGCAAAGTTTCTGGCATATGGCAAATCATCAAGACAGGATAGGAAAAATTAGAATTATAAATTTTTTGTGAATTATATGGGAAATGAATATAAATTTTACACAATATAAATGGTTTGCATATAATACAAATTTAAGCTACTATTGTTTTATAAAGTCTATAATGATAGAGGTTTTCACATCCCAAGGCTACCAGATACTATATAGTCCTTTGGTCCTCCTTCCTTCCTTCCTTTTTTTTTTTTTTTTTAAGACAGGGTCTCGCTCTGTTGCCCAGGCTGGATTGTTGCAGGGGTGAGATCATAGTTCACTGTAACCTTAAATTCCTGGGCCCAAGAGATCCTCCTGCTTCAGCCTCCTGAATAGCTAGGACTACAGGCACCCCTCACCAAAACTTGCTAATTTTTTTTTCTTTTTTTGTAGAGATGGGGTCTGCCTATGTTACCCAGGTTGGTCTTGAATTCCTGCCCTCAAGTGATCCTCCTACCTCTGCCTCCCCAAAGAGTCGGTAGTATGGGTGTGAGCCAACACACCCAGAGCCTGCCTTTCTTTCTTTCTCTTTCTTTCTTTCTTTCTTTCTTTCTTTCTTTCTTTCTTTCTTTCTTTCTTTCTTTCTTTCTTTCTTTCTTTCTTTTGTTCTCTCTCTCTCTCTCTTTCTTTTTCTCTTCTTTACTCCTTTCCATTCTTTTCTTTTCCTTTTCTTTCCCTCCTGGAAATTCTTGATTTAAACAGTCTTGGGGGGAAGTCAAATACATAAAACAGAGGAAAACAGAGATGCTATGGCGATTGGTAGGGAGGCATGGTGCCCAAACCTCCATCCACTCAATCACTCATCCTGCTTCCCATCTCCTAATGGCATGGGAAAGGACACCAAAGAAACCCCAAAGACTCTCTAGAAGAATTTGAAAACCATTTCCTAATTCTCTGCTTGTCAGTAGAAGAAAATGGATCCCAAAGCTCTAGTTTTCTAGTCATTAAGATGGCTGGCGAGAGAGTCAAGATGACTTCCAAGTGTAATGGTCATTGTGCTATGACAACCTGCCTGATTCATCCTGTGCTAAATATATCTAAGGAGGTAGGAGACATCTGAAGCATTGAGATACTCATTCAAAAATGACCCCTGGAAGTTGCATATCTGGACAAGAGAAAGTTCACAGACTGCAATTTAAAATCACCAAGTAGTCCTGAAAACTTTAGTGTCCATAGGACTGTTTCTGGTATTTACATGAAGCCCAGTGGTCCTATGGTAAGCACAGAGGTAAGATGGCCTTTTAAAAAAGGTTTCGGAGAGGAGTTAAGGAAATGAGAGTCAGGACCATTGCACTTGCTCTGATTGATTTGTAGCTTAAAAGAAGGGACTCAGTTCAATCTAGATTTCTTCATACTCCCAACATTAGTTAGAATCTACTAAGAAAATGTATCCAACACGAGAATCTAAAAACCATCAAATGTCCAATTCAGGCTACTTTTTATAATTTAAAAAAAAAAGAACAAAGAAATGAAGAAAGACTAAATTAGTGTGTCTCCTCAGACTAGAGAGGCAAAGGTTGAGATGATGTAGCTGAAGCTCATGAAATAGCAAAGGATATGTACAGAGTGGTTGAGCATAGACTGCTCACTAAATCAAACAGGTGACAAATAGGTGGACCTCTTAAACCGATAAATTTAAGACTGATAAAGGGAAAACCAGTACATTTTCTTTCCTGATTGCACTTTGACTAAAAGAGTTTGAGAAGGTACCCACATTATTTGGCATAGTGATATGTTCTCATTTTTAATTTTGATAGAAAATTCTCTGTATTATTCTCACAAAATAAAAAGAATTGTGATTTGGATTTCCCAAGTAGCCTACATGATTTAATGTGTAAGACAATTAGAATGATCTATTTGGGAATTTGGAGACACACAAGTTTCATTTGCTATTCTGTACACCATGCGTAGTCATTTGGAGACAGATTGCACTCTATATAAAGTGTTTCTAACAGCTACTGACTTCCAAAGAAAATCTTTAAAAAATTCTTACTCAGGCCAAGGCAAGTGGATCGCCTGGGGTCAGGAGCTTGAGACCAGCCTGGACAACATGATGAAACCCCGTCTCTACTAAAAATACAAAAATTAACCAGAAAGGTGGTGGGTGCCTGAAATCCTAGCTACTAGGGAGGCCGAGGCAGGAGAATTGCTTGAACCTGGGAGGCAGAGGTTGCAGTGAGCAGAGATTGTGCCACTGCATTCCAGCCTGGGTGACAGAAGCAAACTCCATCTCAAAAAAAATTAATAAAATAAAATTCTTACTTAATCTTCTGATTATCTCAAGAAGAAAGTCTCAGTTTGATGTTAGATGTTTTTAACACCTAACACTTGCTAATATCCCTTTTAACAATGAATAGGAGTTCAGTAGACAACTGAATCTACAATGAACCTGGGTAGGTTTGACAAGGTTCAATGGGAAAAAAGGAGGAAGTCGAACCCTGTTAGAGATCAGTATAGATATTTGCACTATGACATCTGGAATCCACAAATCCAAGGTGTTTCCTATGTTCGTTTACTCAAAGGGTCTAGTATACTTGGAAATATTTTTATCAAAAACCCCAAAAAATACAGGCTTTAAGAAAGGTTAATCTAAATGCACAGAGGACAGAAAAATATTAAGAAGTCTCAGGGTGTATCCCTAGTCTTTGGTGTTTCATGTGACATAGTTCTTTATGCTCCTAGTAGAGACAGAATATTGGATGGACCATGGCTCAGACCCACTAGATTAATACTTGCGCTTTTAAGTAAAATCCTCTATTTCTTTGAAAATACCTCTTTTAAATTGCAGATGAAGCTGATCTGGGGAAAGGTGTCCCTAAAGAGAAAGTAGCGTAAGTGCCCATGTTAGTGCTATCTTACTGTGTGCACAGGATAAATCTAATGCAGATTGAACTAATCTAAAGTTCAACATCTGTTTCATTCCAAGTGGAACATTTGAAATTCAATGCAAAGAAGGACTTTCAAGCCTGGCTTTTATTCTGAACAACTAATTGCAGTAGTCAGTTTCCAATTTTTGAGTCCATAAAGCCCCTTAGCTAGCCCCAATAAAAGTCCCATAAAGTAGCATTATGTTTGATAAATGTATTATAAGTTTCGTTCTGTTTTTAAAAAGAACAACTGTACATAATTTTATAAATTTTTGAATTCAGCAATATTGAGTATCAGTAATATTGAAAATCACAGTTAACAGCCTGTCCTCTGGAGCTGGACAGATGTGGCGTAGAATTTCACAGCTGTTACTGAATGATTTCGGGCAAGTTATTTAGCCTAAGTCTAAGATTCTTTTTTCTATAAAATGGGGATACAAATAATATCACATAGATAGCATTAATGATCTAATGCTTGTTGAAAGCAAGCATTAAAAATACAAAATAATTTAAGCAAGCTCTTAGCATAATACCTGGCAAAGAGCGAGGGGTCAAAACATTAACTATAATTAATCGCCATCCTACTAGCAGCTTTATTCAGCACTGATCTTTAGATTTAATAGCTTGGTTTATAGAACACAGCAGGTTAAATGCATGTTTAAAAAGTATCTCTTGATATTTTCAAACCTGCAGATGTTTGACACAATGAAAATTAAAAAAGAATTTGTACTTTTTATCTGGAAATTTTGATATTTCAACATTCACAATGATAGCAATGTGAAGTATGCCCATCCTAGTCTTCATTTATTCATATTTTCTATGACACTCTCTTTAGCTAACTCTGCCCTGGAATGGATTCTGTTTCCCACTTCCCTAAGGTAATAGAATGTGTAGAACTGGAGAGTGAGAGCTCAGAGCTCATCTCTGGGACAGCTCCACCAACTTTGCTTTTTTATAAGTGGGAAACTAAAGTCCAGAAGGGTTAAGTGTCGTGCACAAGTTTGACTGAGTCAAAATTTAAACTGTTTCCCATGCTCATTCCATTGCATCACACTGGTCTTCAAAACTGGAAGGGCTCAGCACTTCTATCCACTACATTTTCTAGGCCTGATTAGAAGTTATTTTCTAGTGTATTATTAAAGTTCAAACACAAACTTTGACTTCGATGCAAACATTAGTTTCACAAGATTTTAAAATGTTTTAGATATGCTTTCCAGAAGTTTAAGAGACTGAAGCTACACATTGTAGTCCATTTATACAAAGGAAAATGGACTTGACAAACACTGTTCTGGCAAGTCAGTGCTAAATATAATCTTAGTTAAGGAGATGTTTTCATTAAGCATCCTCTTTCAAATGCCAGCTAAAGCTTTTCCTGTGTATGTGCAACAGTGGGTATTACATGTAAAATAGCCATACGTAATACATGTATTTTATTTATAACACGGAGAAGTCACAATGTATATTAGATACACAGTTATTATTTAAATAATGTATTTGTGAATTCTTGATCATTTGTCTTATTGTCTAGAGCCTAGGATAGTGCCTGGCACATAGGCATTCAGGAGATATTTACTGACATTCTGAATGAGTACTATCTGTCTTATAGAGAACGTGCTGTTGCCAATTAATGTGCTTTGTACACTATCTATCATGGCACGAAATTCAGCCCAACACCAATTTCAGTCCTTGAAATATTGTCAGGAACTTAAAAAAAAAAAGTGCAACTCAGTCATTCCAGCTTCTGTGACAGATTTTTTTAAAAATATGCATTTGAAAACTGTGATTATTATAATATAATGTTACAAGTAAATTTCTCTTTGAGAATATATATTAAAATTTCCTTGCCTATAACCATCATACAGTGGCAAAGTAAAAACTCTAGTGGCTCCACAAAAACTCTTCAAAATAATTAAAGTAGAATTTCTGAGCAAATAGAATTAACAAGAGTCATGAATCAAGTCAGTTCGAAGGTGAAATTTTGTGTGGGGCATTGAATTCATTTTGGCCCATTTAAGAAAGAAAGAGGACCTTGAAGAACATTGCTGTAAATCATGAGGAAACAGGAACATATTTTGGTTTTCTAGAATTAGTTAATTTTTTGTAAAGCAATGTTTCTAAGAAGACATTTTATAAATATAGATATATTTAAAAATTTTCTTTCTCACTAAAGAATTGTGATGTTTCCAAACAGCATGCAGTTTTTCTGAAAATGTAAACCAATATTTTGTTGAAAAAAATGCTTTTTAAGATCATATGTTAAACCTTAAGGAGAAAACAGCTAAAACCCCAAATTGTGTGGAAAAAAGTCCTGTTCTGTAATTCTGTGTATGATGCTGGGATTAGGCAAACGACTGATGGCTTGATCTGTCAGGGGCTAACCTGAAAACTGCTGACTTCCTGGATGTGAGCCAAAGGTTGCCCTTGGGGTTAAGATAAGCCAGTTAATCTCCTGACTGAAACAACTAGTCTAGACATTGAATTGCTCTGGCACGGTACTTGTCAGGGATGTTGTGGATTGACTACATTCTAATTTTGCCCACTGTGTAGTCCTAGAATTGCAGGGTGTTTTGGACAAGAGGATGGCACAGTTGCTATAACTTGACTAATTCAGCTGCGGAGAGAATGTTATATAAGATGGGGTGCTGGGTTTTGCGTAATTTTTTTTTAGATCAGTTCCCAGTCACCAATGAAGAGAAAATAGCTGCATAATAGGTCTAGCTTGTTTTATTCATGCGTAAGGATGTAATAAGGAATCTGTAAGCTGGTATTAGACTGTGCTTCTGATCCTCTGAGAGGTTCTTCTGGCTGTGAGGATCCTTAAAAGTCGTTGAGAGAGTCATTTGGGACTGCTGTATGCTGATGACTCTGAACTGAAAGACACATCTAAAGTGAAAAAAGAGTTTCTAAACAGCCAGCACAAAAATAAAGGCAGTCATTGGACATCAAGCAGAAATTTGACACAAAACTCTATCATTACCTGACATTTTGTTATAAGAAATGCTAAAGCAGATTAAGCAGAAAAATAAGTGATGCACGGGCCTGGAATATCCTCAACCTAGCAAGAATTGAAGACTCCAACCCACAACCTGGATGCGATACACTGACTTGACCCATTTTGATTTTCATCATTTCTTATTCAAGACTGAACCCTTACTTCATTCCAAGATGTTTGGTGCTTGAAAGATGAACAAAATGAAGTTCTTCTTTTAATGACTTTATATTCCAGTAAAGATGGTCATATCAAATAAGAAAAGAATATCACCAAGAACAAGATGGACAGCCAGCATCACATACTTACTTAGGGGAAATTGAGACCTCAGCTGAAATAAGTGAAGGATTCTGTACCCATTTAGAAATGTGTCTTCTTCTTTAATTTTCTCAACTTACTTTATACATTCTTCTTCTACTCATCTAAACCTGTAGCTACTATTGTATTCTCTAGACACCAAATATTTTATCTCTAACCTCCACTCCTTTCTGTTTTCTTTGCAACTACTTTTCTTAGGTTTTCAAAGGCTTTTTGTTTGAACGTTCCCTGGAATTATCTAACTCTTTGCCTTCCCCTCTTCTGTATACCTCCCTTTGGTCTAAAACAAATTCATGTCACCCCACTGCTTAACATCTTCCCCAAACTTCCCTATCACTTGCAAGACAAAGTCCTTATTTCTTAACATGACTTATAAAGAACGTTTTGTATTAAGACCTGTCTACCTTTTCAGACTCATTGCTTCCACCTGTTCCTGGACCAGTCCTAGATGCCAGCAATAGAGAAATCCCTGCAGTTCCCCAAAGGTACCACCTTCTTCTTTATGTCTCTTCTCTTCTATTCCATTTACCTGGAAAGTCCTTTTCTCCACTTATCTGCCTGTTGATTCATTCCAATCATTCCTCAAAAGTCAACTGAAGTTCATTTCTTTAAAATGCCTCCTGCCCACATTTCTAGACAAAATCATGCACTTTTGCTTCTGTGAGCTCTCATCACGAGTGGTAATTATTTGTGTGTGTTTTTTTTTTTTTTTCCATTTGTTTCATTATTTAGGATGTGAGAACTCAAAGGGCCAGTAACATGTGCTTGGGCATGTATATTATAGATACATAAACTCATCTTGTACTCCCTATGTTTACCACAATTTCTGGTTCAAAACCAGGTGCTTAAGAATAAGAAAGAATAGAAGGAAGAGCAAAAAAGAAAGAAAGAGCAAGCAAGCAAGCAAGCAATCAAGACTTTTCTATACTAACTACATACTGTTAGTATATAACAGTTAGCATAAACTGTTCTAATCAACACCCATGATTGTTTCACTAAGGTCTTTAAGAGCTCTGTATTCAATTATTTTGTCAACATAGAAACATTAAGATTTGGTGAAATTTATTCTTCATATACTTTAGCATCTTATGATTTTTGCATCTCTAGGAAAAAAGTCACATGTTCATGATTATTAAACACAGCTGTTTGATTGGCATTAAAATGGATCTGCCTGATAAGACCTGGAACTGAGAACCCAAACAGAACCTAAGATAAGCTCCCAAGGGAAGTGCTGGCAGTAGATATTCAGAGGCATTTTGGACAGTTGGACAATCAGAGTGAGACTGACCCACAAGCAGGCAAAACGTGTATGCATTAGCAGGTGTGTGGAAGAGGGCTAGATTTTGACTGAGGGTTGGAGAGGACATGAGCTGGTTTTTGCCTAATAATGACTAATGAGTGATTTAGGCAGATGGAACCTCCATGAAATCTTCTGGAGGATCCTGCTGTTAGTAGTGAATACCCAGTCACAGCAACTGACATTCAGAGGCAGCTGACAAGCCTCGGCAGCCTTGGCAGGAAGGGCAAGTCAAAGTTCTAGGTGTCAGAGTGGAAGCAGAGAATCAAGCAGAAAATTGGTACAGTAGGATGGAGACCCAGAGTATTAGGACAGAGCTGTGTGGCAGAGGTTGGGTCACTGTGGAGTAAAAAAGAACTTGTCGTGATCCTGGAAAGTAGCAGCAAGATTACAGTAGGGCTGGCAGGAGGGTGACCTGATACTGAAACACTGAATATGGCCCCTGTTGTCTCTTCAGATACAGGATTAGGAGCCATTGGGAAAGGCTTGAAGCTATAGCTTGTGAGAATGACCCTCAGTGCTAGAGAGATAATGGACAATAAGTTAAACTTCATTTTAGTCAGGCCCTGGGCACCTGTAGTGTCAAAAGCTTCTTCCACTATTGAGAATCACTAGAAAATTACCAAGAAATACCCAGTGGTCTATTTATTTAGTGGATGCATTAAAAAAATTCTTCAAATAGCCCCATTCTTAGTGTGCTTTGACCTGTACACTCCCTATAATTCAGAAGAGTGAAGAAAGAAACAGTGGAGGAGAGAATGTACTTAAAAATACACAGTTAACCTTTTCCTCAAAGTCAAAGCCTAAAGGGAGAATGGCAGTGTAAAGAAAGTAGGAGGAGGGACCAGGATGACTTCTAAGGGAAAAAGAAAGGCATCTTTTATCCAAAACTAAAGCAACATAATGGCGATGTGATGTTGCTTTTTGTCCATAACTAGGTCATAATAGACAAATGCATTTCTAATGATGAAGAACTCTGGAAGGGATAGGATCAAGGAGGGGAAAAGCAAGCCTCCCTCAATGTGTACCACATTCATTTGGGACAAAGATGATGTAGGTGTGCTGCCTGTCAACTAGAATGTGCATGGGAAGGGGAAGAGATGAACAAGAACAGAGAATTACTCCTTGGGCCATGTTGGTCATTAGTAGAATAGGTCACTCATTTTGTCTTCTAGGATAGAATCTTTCTTTTTGATACCCAAGATGGCTTTGTGATGTGTCATCTTGGGTATGTTAAATCACTTTCCCCAGAATTCCCGTTCAAGTGTGTTTCTGGTTAGGGTGGACTTTAAAGGAGATTCTCACACAAGAGTTGAAAGACAGAAGAGAGGCAGCTGTCATTTAATAGTGTACACACACCATCCTCCAGATATTCCATCAAATGCTAGTGTAGGTGCTGCTGGGAAGGGGTTTTCCAAATGTAATTAAAATGACTGCTCAGCCAGAAATTCTCTGTAATAAGTAAATACACTCACACACATACATACACGTGCATACATACACATGGATAAGTGTGTACATATGTATATATGTATATATGCTTTTTATATTTTTATATATGTATTTTTAAAATACATATATAAAGGCATCTTTTGTCCAAAACTAAAGCAAAATCATGATGATGTGATGTTGCTTTTTGTCCATAACTAGCTCATAATAGATAAATGCATTTCTAATGATGAAGAGCTCAGGATGGGATGGAATCGGGGGGCAGGGGAAAGAAGGTATTTGTATGTATTTTAAAATACATATATAAAAATATAAAATACACATAAAAATATGCATACTGGTTCTGCTTCTCTGGTTGAATCCTGACTGATGCAATACCTCATTTTTAGCATATTTTTGTACATCATGTTAGAGTTTGCTAAGGACTTCTGCATGTTTTGTATTATGTCCTAGATGACAAAACTGGGGCCCAGAAACAGTAAGTGACCTAACCAATGCCATGTAGCCAGTCAGTGATCTAATAAGACTTGAATTAAAGCTCAAGTTCCCCAACCTAACAACATTGCTTATAACATTAATGTTAAAGTTTCTAGTGTTATGTATAACAAAGTTTAATAACAATAAACATAGAAGTTAAAAGTATAATAAAACTTTTTTGGGCATATAGGAAAAGTACAATAAAACTTTTTGGGGGTATAGAAAAAAACGTATTACAATTTGGATTGAAATAACAACTTCTCTTTATATTCCCGAAAATTATATAGAACTCCATTTTGGGGAGAGGATTGAAGTTTGTGATTAATTCCAATATTTATATAGAAATTTTTTTAAAAACCCAGAGAATTTAGCAATGGGTTTACCATTTTATATTATGATGCCTCCTGGGCTGGGTGTAGAGTGGCTCGGGAAGGCTGGGTGAGGACAGATCTTAAAGATGTAACAGATGCAAAGACCCAGTAATAAAATAATACACCTGTACAATAAGCATTCTATATTCTCTCATGTATTACTCAGATATAACAGTTCTAATTTAATCAACAGAAAACATCATATCCCATCCTTGCTGCTCTCTAGAAGTATTTAGTATCTTGATCACTGAAAGTCAGCATTGAAAAGGCTTTAATCTCTATTATCTATCTATCTATCTATCTATCTATCTATCTATCTATCTATCTATCTATCTATCTATCTATCATCTATCTCCTGTCTATCATCTATCTATCTATCTATCTATCTATCTATCTATCTATCTATCTATCTATCTATCTATCTATCTAGCATCTATCTCCTGTTTATCATCTATCTATCTATCTATCTATCTATCTATCTATCTATCTATCCATCCATCCATCTATCTATCTATCTATCTATCTATCTATCTATCTATCTATCTATCTATCTATCTATCTAATTTTTTCCTCTTGGGAACAACAATAGGTATAAAATCCTAGGATAAGGGAAAAATTTTGGAAATAGTGATAATTTTTAATTTTTAACTTTTAAAAATATTTTTATTGCTATATCATAGTTGTACATATTTTGGAAGTACATGTGGTATTTTGATACATGTGTACAATGTGTGATGATCAAGTCAGGGTAACTAGGATATCCATCACCTCCAACAACAGTAATTATTAAATTATAGGGTAAAGGGCTAAAAACAATGCACTTAACCTCAAGCATCAACATCTAACTATTCTTTTTTTTTCTCTCTCTCTCTTTTGGTCTTCACAAAAACTGAGAAAGCCACAGCCCATGTAGAATGGAAATATACTATTTTAAACCTTTTTTCTTCTGGATACAAAATCCACTTCTTCGCTAGGAAATTGCATTCCCATCCCAATCAGTCTTAGTGAAAACCACTGATTCAGGGTAATTTCCCAAGACATAGTGGGTGTTGTGGGGGTGAGAGACCACATAGAGGGAACAACTGACTTAAGGAGGGCCTAGGAGGGTCCTCCTTCAGGATATCCTATACACGCGTGTAGGGCAGAGGGCCGTGCCTTCCTGTGTGGTGAAGCTATGGAAGAGGAGTTGATGGGGATTTACAGCCATGTCTTCCAGAGTATGGGAAAAGACCGTCTGCAGTAGGACTGCCTACAACTTAAAGCTAAGTTGTAGAGAGATGCAAGGAAATGAGTCAGCTGAGATGGAAGCCTGGTACTTCCAATAGGTGGCTCCAGCTATCTCTGAAGCCCCAGTGCTCTGTGAGGTTGCTAACTTTTGGATTAATATAAACTTCATTTCGATGAGCAACCAAAGAGACTGGGGAATAAGGATTGGTGAAGTGCTCTACTTCTAGAGACTTGTATTCCAAGATATGGGTGAAAGTTTTGTCTGCTGGGGGCCAGGCTAGTACCTGAGAAGTCTGGTCTGAGCTTGCATCTTTGTGGCCTGTGGAGACTTAACATGGAATGGGACCATCCTGGTAGTTTATCCTTACACAAAATGGATTGGCCTGGGAATGAAAACTAATTGTATTTGTAAAGGTTCAATTGTCTTTTCTTTAAAAGGAGAGGGGGTGCAAAAATTGGGGAAAACTGTGGAAGGGAAAAGCATTTTGAAAAATTTTTAAATGCCCCTTATCATTTTGTAGTTGCAGGATTTTGGTTTAATTTGAATCAGTTAACTCTCAGAGGACATCTGTAGCATTTAGAAAAGGATGGCTAATTTGCAGCAGATACGAGCTTTTGTGCAAAGGCAGAAAGATGTACTGTAACATATGATGCAGATCACTTTAGAGTAATTGAACCATGGCTTTTGCATGCTTTCGATCTTAAGCTTATCTCTATCTGAAGCCTGTAGAAAGTCTTTTTCCATTTACATAACAGGACAAGAGATTATTACTACTAAAATTAGATCCACGAATTGCTATGCATAGTGCTTTGTAGCATAATCAAATTATGATAAAATAGCCTTTATTTCTTTATAGCTATATAATATAGTTAGGTTCTTTTGCAATTTGTTTAGAAGTAAACGGTGGCAGTACTATTTTATTATATTAAAGCATTGCTGATTTTTGGCCAAACTGACAACCTTGCTTGATTGTTTTTTAGAGATGCTTATTTGAAGAATGGGGAGGAGTCTGACAAAGGCTAATTTGTTTTCTTTTCTTGCCACTCCTCCCCCAGCCTTTTTTTTTTTTTTAATGTGAGCCACTGCTCATAAGTTCTTCCTGCACATCCTTATCACTTACTGTGATAATACGATCCTGAGAAAGTGGTTCCTGTTCATTTGATGTGACCAGATAAAGTCAAAAGCCTTATGCCCTGGCGAACCCTCAACTGTTTTCTCCCAGATTCTGAACAGGGCAAATCACAAAAACCTTGTCATCAGTTAAATTATTCCTGTAAAGATGTAAATATGGGAGGGAAGGGAAAACAAACTCAGAGAATCAAGGGAAAAAAAGGTGGCAGTGGGGGAAGAGAAGAAAATGGAAATTAAGACTTGTAATGGGGGGAAAAACAGCAGAAAGGAGAGAACAGAAAAAATATGACAAGGGTATGTCTATGAGGGAAATGAAGGCTAGAGAGAGGGCAAAATATAAAACGACAGGAAGCTTAAAACATGGTGTAAGAGCAGATTCCGCCCCATTTAAAGGCTCTGAAAGTTTCCTGATGGCTCTATTGAGCAGAACCCCCTACCCCCATCCCATTCTATATTACTGTTAATGCTACTGTTAATGCTAAAGTTAGCTGTAGCTGCAGAGGTGGCATTTCTTCTAATTTAATTTTCAGTTACGGAACTCAGTTACTGACTCTTTAGAGCCTGAGGGAGGATGAGCCTTTGTTAAAGCTGCAGCCGTTAACTTTCACTTTTCTTTTCAACCTCATTAGATTTCCTGAGGTTTAGTTCTAGACTTAAAGCACTGCACTGTGGCTAAACTATGTAAAATAACATTTTTGGTGAAAAGCAACACCTGCAAAAATGTCACACAAATTTCAACTTTAGTTGTACCCAGTGATGTCACCAAATGAAGTGCTAGTGCAGACAACACAAGTAATAGGATATTAAATTTGTCACGAGCTTCATGGAAGCCACAGCCTGTGACTCCTTCATGGCAACCTGCAGTGTAATGATGAACTAGAAAAACTCCTTGTCTGGTGGGTACCTTTATATTTGTGTTCAATGAGTAGCACACCCATGTAGACATAAGCCTCACTGAAGCAGGACTGGAGAAGAGGCTGCTTACCTGGTTTAGTCCACACAGGGCAGCAAAATTCTGATTTAATTGGTAAATTAAATCCCCCATACTTTTCCCATACTCTGGAAGACATGGCTCCCCATGTGTGGGGAGATTCTTGAACTCAGAATATTACAAAAATGACATTTTCTTGATTTCTTGAGAATGACTAAAGGCTGGAATGAAAACTAAAGATGATTGACTCGGAAAAATCAGGGACAATGATCTACAAAGTTTATACAATGCACGCGGTGATCAGTCTCTGCTGTCATGTCTTTCAGAGAAACGTCTCTATGCTGGCCCAATCTGTGGATCCTGGGTTGGTGACCTCGTCCCAGATGGTCAGCCACAACCAGGGAGGCTTTACTGCTTCAAGACTCACTTTGCTGCTCAGAGGGTCTCTGTGCCTCTGGTCTCTATGACAAGATGTTTTCTCTCCTCTGGTGTTGCATTCTGTTCTTTACATGACATAGAAAGACATTTTAAAGCCACCTAAGTGGGACAAGTCTCTCCTGTGAAGAGTGTAAATCTAATTGGATCCACCATCTCCTTGGTGCCTTGGCAGTGCCTATGCAACACCTTTAAATCTCCTCTAAGCAATGGTAACTTGGGCGTACTGTGTAATCACTTCTTGTCCAGTATCATGTACATTTGCTTTTCTCGACATACTAACTGTGTAAAAGTCACTCTAAAGGATACATAATAATACAGGAATTACTAAAGAAAAACTTGGCTGGGTGGATGGCTAAAACATTTTATATTTCATTATTCTACATTAAAAAAGTAGTGAAAT